GTATATGGTATATGATATGACCACTGATACTCAACGGAGCTTTTATAAAAATGAAAACAATCTAAAAGAGGTTGCCTGAAGGAATGTTGAAATATTATTTTTCCACAAAAAATAATTAAATCCATTCTGGCTTAATAAATTTCATTATTTCCCAGCTAAGGACAACACAAAAAAATATTTTAAAAGAAATATTATAAAACCTGAGTGTACCTGCATACTGGTCTGACTTTGTTGACATTTCTGCTAAGTACACCCCTCTTCCTAGCATTCCATGGGTGCAAAGTTTAGGGTCAGGGCCACACTGTGTTAGCTTTTCAATAAGGTCTTTTTTTGTTCCATGAAATAGGTAATGCTCATTAACGTCTTGATACAGCTGCTCCTTGAGAAAGTCTTCAGCTAGTTCTGTGGTTTTTATCTGACCCCTGGGTAACGTAGAACTGAAATCATCACAAAGCTTCCCCATTCTGGCATATTTGTCAAATAAACTTTTTCTTATACTAGCATACGGTTCAAAAAGAAGAAAATTCTCAACTCTTTCCACATTTAATACTTCTACAGTTGTATTAGGTATCAAGTTGATTGCATCCACACCTATTCCTGTCTTTTTTGGATCCCATGTCTTTATAAAAAGGTCAGTTACAGCTTTTTTTGTCTCGTTGTTTACACAGACAATAATCTCTTGTACCTTTTTGTGTTTAGATGGATAAACCTTGTTTACTAATCGTCGCAGAAATGATGGATCTTTGAAAACTTTCCAGTAGGATGGACACATTTCGGTTATGGTTGATGCATACTGTACAAATTCCAATGTACCTCGTTGAGGTTTTTCCCCACATATAATTGTATGATTTTGTAGAGTACTGCGAATTTTATCCAGTTCACATGTGATAAAAGCTTTTAGCTCAACAATATGAAGTAAAAAACCTTTCATTTCTATTATCTTCTTATCTGAAGGAATTCTTAAATGTATGACATATCTCTGGACTTTCTTTTTAACATCTTGTGATATTACAGGGAGCAACTCATCTTCAATGTAATCAAAGTGTAAACAATGTGTTCTGATCAGTTTAATTAAACTTTTTAAAGTACCATTTGGTTTGTTTGTTTTAGCAATTGTGACAGAGATTTCTGTATTAACAGCTTCTTCTAAATCAATGACAATGTTTTCACCCATGTCTTGATCCATGTCATCCTCTGTGTCAGAGTTGTCTTCAACAGTACAGGTATTACGAGAGAATTTTTGCAACTTTTTCTCTGCCTCTAATTTGAAATTGATGTGCATTTCTTCATCATTAGACACAATACAGATTTCTTTTAGCTCTGGATTTGATGTTAGGTGTGACACAAAAGAGTCTACCATTATTTGAGAGACTTTATCAGATGGAAATTTGAACATTCTACCATGACCTAAGGCAGGAAATGCCATTGACTTGGCTCCCAGCTTGATGGCTTCATCTAAAATTTTGATGATTTTGTTTTCCAACAAAGCAGGTGATTTATCTTCATCCCATTTGCTTAAAACTATGCCGCAAATTGCAAGACAAGATGTATATGGATTTGAAAAAGGTCCAGGGACAGTAAGTACATCTGAATCAGGGTTATCTCTTTGGATTATTTTAAGTCTGTCATTCAGCTCAGGGACAGCTCTGATAAAAGCCTTTCCAATTTGTGTCTTTCTTAAGTTGATAGATTCATCCAACACACACACTAGAACATCCATTTGTTCATCAATGATGTCTCCTTCTTTAATCTTGATGCAACTTGATGTGGTCACACTAAATATATCACTAATAGGTTTTGTTCTAGGGATGTACCCTTTAACTTTAAAGGCAGTTTCATTTGGCAATTTGATTTTGAGAAGACACTTTTTCTCCCTTTCAAAGAAACATATTTTATTTTGCATTTCAGGAGTATTGCAACTCATAGTTATAANAAATGATATTGCTTTTCCTCCGCAATATTTTCTATTTTGATTCTTTAAACTGTTTTCAAATAGCAAGTTTGTAAAACACTTAAGATCCTCACATTCTGCAGCGTTAAATTTTTCTCCATCTTTATTAGAATTGTTTCCACTGCTCTGGTCCTCCCTATGAGTCCATTTACTTGATGCCTGATCACTCAAACATTCACTGCTGCTCTGAATTCCCACGTTTCCTTCTTTGTCTTGATCACTCAAACTTTCAATGCTGCTATGATTTCCCACATTTCCTTCCAATTCTTGATCACTCAAACTTTCACTGCTGCTATGATTTCCCACATTTCCTTCCAATTCTTGATCACTCAAACTTTCAATGCTGCTATGATTTCCCACATTTCCCTCTACCCCTTGATCACTCAAACCTTCCATAAGGACCTGGTAATCCTTCCAGCCTTCTGATATTTGCTTGCTATATGTTTCATAATCTCTTGGGTTATCCTCTTGGTAACACTGATTGCCTTCTTCATGATTTAATAAATTCAATTCTTTTTCTATTACATCATGGAAATTATAGAAAAATGGTTCAAATTTAATGGTAGCCGATATAGTGTGTCGTTTCTTTGAAAGCAATTTATTCACCACTGAAATAAAAATGTGTAATAAAAAATAAACAACTGAAATGATGATAAAAATTTGTAAAAGTCATGTTAGTAGTAATAAAGTAAAGAGTAGGAAGTATTTGGTAGGTTAATTTAAGGAAAAAGTATATTTTCTTAAAAACACTAGTTAAAATCAGAGGAATAATTTTGATAATTTTTAATTTTTCAAGCAATGTCCCAATTACTCTTATAAGTTATTCAATTATGTAGTTTTTAATAACTTGTGGAATGTATCATTTATAATAAAAAATAGTAATTTTCATTTCTGTTAAATTTAGCTGGTACTGTTGGTAACATTAACATAAAGAAAATGATTTAAAGGCCTTAAGGTGACACCAACAATAAAAAAGCTTCTCATATGGTCTTACATCTATCAGATCCAACTTTGAAATGCACAAATCCTAGGTTATGTTTCAGACAAATTCTGAAAGACGATACAGAGCCTTGTACATTTGTATATTCCTGCTTGATGTATTTTTTAAGAGAGCTCACATCCAAAGTTGGTTTAATATCATATATTACAACAGCATTTTTGGCTCTGGCTTTCACTAGAAACAGTTTCATTTCATGTCCTTCACGTGACTCTTGTTTTATCATACGTGCAGCAACTTCAAAATCTTGTTTATAAAGAAGAGATTTTTAATTAAAAGGTTTACAGAGTTAGATTTTTATAGTGTAACAGACAAAAAAATAAAGAAGAAAATAATTCCAGCCTCAGTCAAAGTTTGAGGTTTACCACTGTAGAGACTTTCAATCTCATTGTTTCTCTAAAAACTACCTTAAATCAATATAGGCATGATTTTTTTATATAAATAAAACAGGCATCTAAACCATTTTAATGCAGTCACAGCCCTGCTAGGGGAAGACAGTTTTGAGAATGTCAGATAAATCTATGCCCAAGAGAATAATTTATGATGTGCTGGGCATAACAAGCAGTATGCTGCATAAAAAGTTTTACATTCACAACATAAAGGAATAAAATTGATTTCATTAATTAAATGAACAGCTATGCATCACTAAAATTCTTTTCTGCTCTTCAATACTCTAACATCAGCTAAAAACATAAAAATGTTAATTGTATGTTTCAACATAATGAGCATGGAAAATAGTTGCTAAATTTTTTTTTAAATTTGATAAATACCTTGAATATTTTGTGAAATAGAAAAAAGGGCCATTCTTTCAATGATCTTGACATTTACTACATCAACATCCAAAGTTCCTTCAATGTACTCAGTCATTAGCTCTTCATTATATGAGGAAGGAATATTCTGAAGAAAAACAAGTGTTGTCAATCTTCAGCTATGTGGTGGAACATGACAAGAAAATTAAATATTTCTTTGTATCATTATTTTATAACAAAATTAGTTTATATTTCTCATTGCCTATGGAAGACAACTACTGATAAATGTTAAAATGGACTAGTATTAATCCATCAATACATATTTTTGTCTGATTACCCAGTATTTAATTTAATTTATTTTACTTTTGAGAATTAAAAAGGAGATGGGAAGAAAAGTTGCGATATGTTGTAATTGAATAAAAGGGGTGGGATATAATGTGTGAACATTGCAAATACAACTTAATTTTTGCATAATATAATTTTTTATTCTTTCTTTAAAAAATAGTTAATTTTAAGATATATCAAAATATATTTCTAATTTATTATGACATATTCAACCTGTGGCCTGCAGGACATTTTAAATAGTTCAAGTTTTAGCCTGTCATCTATAATTATGTAATAAACTTTTATAAATTAAGTTTTTATATTGCTAAGGCACTTTTCTCATAGTCATAGTGGATGATAAAGGTAAGGATACCTCTGAACTTAGCAAAAGATTTTTGTTAAGATTAAAAAATAACACTAAC